ACAATCTCTCTATTAGTAATATTTACTAACATTCTATTTCTATGTGTTCTTGGCCTACTTTTATAAACTTATTTAATCTTGACGTCAAGCGCTTTTAAGCTAACGTCTAAATTAAAACAAACTCTTGTCCATTTAATTTTATTTTTATTGTTCAAGAGAAAAGTATCATCGTATCTACATCCTAGAGGCATAAAAATGTGTTCTGGTATTCAGAATGAACAATCTCATCATTATGCAAATTGTTTATAATGTTTTGGAGAAACTAGTGTTCTCTGAAAAAACAACAACAAAAAAAAACCAAAAAAACACGTGACTTAACTGTATTTATTTTTTAAAGTTATATTATTATTATTATCTTTGTTAGGAGGTGTAACCTCTTCAAATACTGCTTAAACTGTTAAAGGAGTGGTTACGTAAGTTTTATGCTTTCGACAGTTTCGTTAAGACTGACGTGATTATTTTTTGAGTAGTTTGAATAAGCAACTATATACTCAGTATAAAGGTTGGTGTACAAATACTGTAGTAAAGAAATATATAATTATATTGCATTCTAACTGTTAGTGACATTAAAATTTTATGTTTCAGTATCATTTCAGACTGTCTAACGAAGAGAGAAATGTGATGTTCTATAAATTGTGATTTTTGAAATTTTATCTTTCAACCGTTAGGCTTAACAACAACAATACTAAGTGCGTTAAGCTATGCCTAATTTATATTTGTTTCGTGGCTACTAAGCCTAACTGTTAGTAATTATAAGTAAACATATTTTTAAACATAAAAATTAAGGCCCATGAGGGACATTTCATCCACTAAACTTAAACTTAAAAAGAATCTGGCCTGAAGTTAATTTTATATTGACATTTGCGTGAAAGTTAACTTAAAGTTAAACTTCAAATATATTGCAATTATAATTTGTAATATTTTTTATGTGTTCAAATTTCCAACTTATGTTCTACCTCTAAGGAAAAAAAATCTTTCATTTCTTTTTTCCCCTTAATACACCGTTTATTCAGTTATTGTAACCTAGTGCTCAATCTTAAGTTAATTTCTGAATTTAACATTTTAAGAAAGGATGTTGAGTTGTTGGTGTAACTGTACAAGCAAGTACACTGGATGCGATTTATTGTGAACACAGACCAATGATGGGCAGAAAGCAGAAGAGATAGCTATGAAAATGAGAAAAGACAATTTTGTTGCAACGGACGAGTGGTTTAATCATTAGAAAAAAACGGGAAAATGTTGTATACAAATGCATCCATGGTGAGCAAAAGGATGATGATTTCTCAGTAGCAGAAAATTGGATTCAAGAAGAATGGCCTAAAATTATTGCTGAATATTTGCCTGATAATGTTTACGATGCAGATGAAACTGGGCTTTTTTATCGTGCCTTTCCTGAACATACTTATTTGTTCAAAAATGAGAGTGTGAAAGGCTATAAAACCTTGAAGCCCATAAAGTTGATAAATCTCCAACAAGTGCTGAAATGCGAGAGGCATTTTGAATTTTGCAACTTGGTGTACAGCACAGATCAGGCAAGTTTCATGAACAGTATGAATATGAAAATGTTATTAATGAACTGCTCTGAAAAAATAGTAGACAGTCAACTTTAAATGAATTTTTCTAATTCTTGTTTTGTTTTTCTTTCTTTAATTGTTTTTAAATATGTCAATAAATGTGAAAAACCAGCTTTCAAGTTTTTGGATGATACGTTTGCTACCATATATCAATAAACATTACTGTAACTGCTGAATTTTTATTTCATCAGTTAATGTTATCATTTGGTTATTATTATCAATGCAACCATGTCCCGAAGTGATCACAATAAGCAGCATCCTGTGTACAATGTATCACATGAAAACCAAAAGTTTCTGAAATAAACTTAGATTGAAAACAAATGGTACATGTACCTTGCCTGTTGGAGTTAGTTTACAGTCCAAAGAGGAGAATTGTACAGTTAAATTCCGACCCACATATACATTCCAAGAAAGTAATAAATAACTTTCAATAAAACCATCATGAGCCCCTTCCCATTCCTCTGCTGGTGGCTCATGAGCAAAGGAAAGTTTAAGGATTTGTTTAAATGAAATAGTGGCAAAACTATGGAGCAAGTTACAATAAATGATAACTACCTAGATGGAGAGGTAATATAGATCTTCAACATAGCTGTATATGTAAATCATTGCTGTTACATTAATAAAACAATAAAAATTAATTAAAAACCACAAACTTTAACATTATTTATGTGTTTTTAGGCATACAGCTACTCATGTGAAAATTGAGGCTGATATTGTTATAAACAAGTCTTTAGTTTAGAAGCTGTAGTTCGTAGTTGCAGCACTTTGTTTATGATATTCTGTTACAGGATGTGTGCTGTGCATGATGTAACAAGATATATATGCATGGTTTCTTGTAGTGTAGTATGTTAATTATCATGCATGTTTTCAGTGTGTATAATTTCTTAATGACAAGACATTAGGTAAACCTTATTAGGTTTAAAGAGTATAGTAGTGATGGAATAATATCTTGTTGACTAATGTGACTCAAATCCTTATTTGTTGAATATTAATAAGTTTATAGTATTCAAACAACACAAATATATAAAATAATTGATAACTTATTGAAAACGAAGTTTATTTATTGGATATAAATTGATTTTGACAAAGAATCTTGTTACCTAGCTTGACCTGACAGTTAACAGTTTATGGCCAGAAGTGGTGACATTTGCTTTAGGTAAAGTAAGTTTTCAAAAGAAATGTTATTGAATATTTATCACGTTCAATTTACTGCATGTGTATATATATATATATAAGATAGAAATATACAAATTCTAAGACAAAAGGAAATATATTTTATGATGCCACCTGCAGAATAGGACTTCCTACAGTTCCAAGGTGATTCTCAGTTTCTTCTCTTCCACTTTGTCACCCATTTCTTTCCAGTAGTTTTCGATAAGGTTGAGCTTTGGGCTGTTGCTTGGTCAGCGTAATGTCTTGATCCTTTTCCTTCAAAGATAGTTCTTCACCTGAAGCAATGAAATAAAACCTAAAATGTCTTTTCAATACACATAGAGTGAAATTTCCTCTTTATTTTACATCTACTGCATGAATATTGCTGCCAACTTTTTTAGCACTGGAATGAAGCAGAGTCATCCTGAAATGTGCTCTGGTTAGCTCCACTGAAGTGATTCTAAATTGTTGGCTTTAACCAGAATTCAAGGTTCTCAATGAACTTGTCAGCATTGACATTGCCTTTCATGAAATGTAGGTTTTCCACACCCTGGCCAGGGATGCATCCCCATATTACCTGACCCTGAGGATGCTTCACAGTTGTGTTCAAACACACTGAATGAAACTGTTTTCCACATCAATGTTATACAAAGTGCTTCCCATGAGACCCATGCAGATTGAACTTTGATTTGTCTGAGATCACTTTGCTCCACATAGCTTCAGTCCAGTCAGCATACTCTTTGGCCCAGTTGAGCCTCATCTTGTTGGTTAGTAGGGTTTATTTTCTTGGCCATCCTACTGGGAGATCAGCTGAACATAGGCAAGACCAAATGGTGCTCAAAGTAACAGTGGCCACTGAAGTTTCTTGCCATGTCTTCTTAAGATCAATGGACAACATTTGATGATTTTTCAGGCTCATGCATTTCAGAATAAGATTGTCAGTAACTGTGGGATCTTTCTTCCTACCCCTTCCCTTCTGCTGCTTCACACAGCTGGTCTCTCTATACCTCTGCTCCCAGTGGCTCACAGTAAAGTGGTTAAATTTAATTCTTCTAGCAATCTGCCTTGTCTGAAGTCCCTCTTTGTTAAAAAAAACAACAATGACTGTTTTTTGCCATGGGGTTAAATCGCAACCTTTGGCTATGGTAGCATCACATACACATTGTAGCAGATAGGCTTCTATACTGATTCTCAGTAAAAACTTCTATTTATAGCCAAAAAACAGTTCATGCAATACCTAGACGGCCTATAAAACTGCTGATGTGATAACTAGACAGTATTGCATCATCTGTTAAACATATTTGCACCTACATGTCTTACGGTTTCAAAATAAATAATGATTCCAAGAAAAAATTTATTATGTGTGTGTGTGTGGTGGGTATATATATATTATAAAAATATATTATGGTTGAATTTTGAAAATTGTGTAAATTTCACACAGTTGGTTATGAAGAAAAGTAGATACTGATTGATGAATGATTTTTTATTTCAATGTATTAGAACTTTATACAAGAATTAAATAGGAAGTTTAATATGATATTTTTAAAAAGAAAACAGTGATGAATATAATTTCACACAATTTCCGATCCAAATTTTATTTCTTGTGATTGATTTGTCTCTTATTAAAGCTTTAACTCTAGATACTGATAAATAATTTCATTCTCAAATCTTTTTTAAATAAATAGGCATACCTCAGTTGAATGAATGTCAACTGAGCATGTTTTAAATTTGAGGGTAGTAGGAATAGGAACTGTGATGGTTCCCAAAAATTTTTTAATTCTTATTAGTATACTGGTGAATAACTGTTCACATCTTATGGGCAGGATGAATTAGAAAGCTGTGATTTTTAGGAAGCAAAATTTTGATCGTAATATGTAATGAAGAACTGTATAATTACACTGGATTTATAAAAATATTAAAATGTTTAGTTTTAGTTACATATATACAGGGCAGGGCAAAGCTAGCATATAGTTGGTACTAAAGAAATATGATGAAAATAGTTGAAACTACTTTAATCATTGTTTGTTTCAGTGTTACATTTAGAGATTTAACTGTGTTCAAATGTAAAAACTGTGTAGTAATTTTTACTTAACCCTTCTGTAAATACTGAAGAAAAGTTTGGATGTTGAAATTATTTTACTATTTTCATATATTAAGCTAAGCTACTACTATAAGTGATTCAACAAGGTCTGACTGAAAGAAAATGAAAACTAGGCCCAAATCATCTGGTGGAATCCATAGAAGACCTGTTTCTGCAGAAAAGAAAACTTCCAGAAAGGTGGCTTCAACAACACGCTTGATAAAGCAATCAAGAGGTGCTTTGAAAAGCAACAGGTGGGGTTTGCTCTTTATATAAAAGTTGCTGTAATGATAGATATGTTAAAAATACTTGTGATGAGCAGCATACATAAGTGTAGTGTAATAATTTTATCAAAATTATTAAAATATTAATCACATTGGTTGTTTCTGAAAATAAAAATAACCCTTCTGTGTATGTCATATAAAAGTTTGGTTATGATGATGTTTTTAGAATGATCTGGTTAAATAAAGAGTATCAAGTTACCGCTAGTTTGTTCACATATTCAGGGGTTGCCAAATATCTGATATTTAAAGAACCAGTAGTAAATTCTAGAAGCTTAACCTAGTGTGAGGCATGAGGGGTCATACTTTTGATCAAAATACTTTCAAAGGACATAGACTTCAAAAGTTCATCAGTAAAAATTATTTATTAATTTGCTAAATTTCTATTACTAAAAGAATTGGGTAGTTTCATTTATGATGGCTTATAGAGCTGGTAATTAATCAATGTAATCAGTTATCTATGAGCATCAATTATGTTGATTAGTATCACATAAAATAATCAACTAATTGAAATTAGTGTTTCAAGCTATTACTGTTGATTATCCCAACTGCCCAAGTAATCAAAATGTTAACATTATGATTTCTCATTATTTTTGATTAATTAACACTATCACTAACATTACCAAACTGTTACTTCTCATTAGGCAGTGATCGAGTGCAGGCATTTTTCACTTGTGCTCTTTTTTTCTTGTTCATTTCATTTTTTTTTCAAAGTTGTGATTTACTTGATTTATTTATGTGTAACAATTAGTTTTGTCTGTAGTAGTTTGCCACAATAACTTTTATTGATTTTTTCTTTTTGTTTTCAACCTCTTCATGGTTTAAGATGAATTCTGAAGTTTGAGTTTTGCAACTTCTGATATTGTTACCACTACTTCAAATACCATTACCAGCTTCAGATCTGGTGTTTCTGACTGATGATTTTTCAGCTTCATTCTTCGGGAGATTGTTTGTTATATGAGGTATCCTTTTTCTTCTGACAATGTTTGGGTTCCTCCTGCATTTTCTGAACCTGTTCATGATGAAGAGGATTTTGACAGTTTTTTTTTTCTTCCTTCCTACCTATGCCCTGCCTCCCCATGCATTTCCTACAAAAGCTGTTAGGCCTAACTCTGTCTGTTTGGATATACTTTCTCAGGTGTGTTCTGTTTTATCGTTTTTACAGTTTTCATACGATACCATTTCTTTTTTAACATGATACTTCTCATTTGAGTCCCTTGTTTTTCTTCCTTCCCTTGACAACAGGGTTCATGCTGAACATTTTGTTTCTCATCCTCCATGGATTTCTGATCTTTGTTTTGGCTTATCAGAAGCAGCTTAACTTTTTCTCAACTCCCAGCAATTAGTCACTTTTGCTCATGTGGGGTTTGTCCTTGATAATCCTATTCATTTCTCCCACCTTTGTCTTACCTTTATAGCTCTCCTACAGTATTTGGCCAACATACATTTCCTTGCTGAGGCTCTCCATTGATTCCCTGAGGGGTTGTTTGGGGAATACATTTTCCCTCCTTACTCCTCATTGGCACTAATATCATTTTCAGTCATATCCCTTCACACATGTGGTTTTGTTGCTGTTGGGATCTTATTGGAAAGGACTCTTATTTTTCCCAATATATTTGTGACTTCCAGATGGTTCCTTTTCTCTATTTATTTGTTTTTGGAGATTTTTCAGAGTCTGGATTCACGTGTGGACTCTGCACTTTGGCACCTTCCTAGTTTCCTGGAGTCTCACCTCTGTTGCTCATTATAGGAACTATTCAGTCAGGCTTGTGGCCTCCACCTCATAAGTTAATTTCCTACTATCTTCATTGGTAGATGTTTCTTCCTCATCTGGGTACTGTCTTCTGACTATTGCTAACCTTCAGACTTCAGTGCAGCCATGACTGGGTAAGTTATCTTTGCTATATGTGTTTTCCCTCCAGGGTCATGTCCCATTTAGGATTTGTATCCCACTCAGTGGTGAGCATTGCCTGTTCAGATATGTTTCCTATATTTTAAATATGCACTTTATGGTCATGATGTATCCCATGGCCTATATGCACACTGATTAGATGGAGTGTTTCACAAGATCGCTAGTAGGTTTTCCTCGTGATATATTTGCTTCGTTAATATACCTGTTTCAGACTGTACTAACCCATGGAATTACATGGGTAAAGCAGAAGAGTATAGTTTCTTGTCCCTGCTGACCCTTTGATTGAATAAATCAGGGCAGTCTACTTTTCAAAATGGGGTTTTCATGGTCACTTGTTGCACTGTCTCCAGTGGCGGTGTTCCTCTGGACTCTCCACCGTGTTTTATCCCCCTTGTTCTTCTAGTGGAGTATGGGAGTCCTTGACACTTTCCAGTTCTGAGCTGCTGGGGTAGTGTACCATGGAAGAGTCCTGAATGTGTTCGCTTCCATTCAGTAGAGAGTAGGGTGATGGTGTTCTGCTTGTGTGATCCTCCAATCATAGGCTTCACTTCTGTGCAGTTTTATCCTGAATGTGAGGCTTATATTTTGTAGATGCGATCCACTTCCATGCAGAACAGAGTAGCAAATTCCACTAATCACCTAGCTCTAATGATCTGCTATTTTTTATGTAAGTTCTTTATATGATAACCTCACTTCATGAAATAAATACAAATATCAATGTAAGTACTATATGAATCTATGAGTAGAATATTCAATAAGTATTCAATCTTTTGTCTTGCATAATGAACTAATGGTAATTAAAAGTGTGAGCTGTTTTGGAATTAAGTATAGCATTAAGCAATATCTTTGTGGCAGATATTAGCATAAACCAACACTACACTTAGTCTACAAATTCTCGACTCACACTGCTGGGTGCAGGGACTAAACTAAAATAAATCTGAAACTTGTAGGAAGCCCTAAAATAGTGAGACAATATAGATGGGTGTAAATGCATTTTTAATAGAGATGTGTCATTAAGCCTCGTATTTGGTGTTTGAAAAATACTTAACCTAATGTTATTGACTAGTGTATGTGTATTGAGTTAAATATCAAAAACAAATTATGCAAAAAAAAAAGAAGAAGTCAACACTGCTGTATTGTAATGGTATGAGCCACTTTTGTGATTAATGGAAAGTACATGATCTGAGAAATGTTTTTCCAAAACTTATTAAAATTGCCTTTTATAATTCACAGTGAAATGCTTCAAACTTGCATTAGCCCTCTCGCAACAGATAGGTAGGAGTGAGCATGTCACAACCTTTTAGGGAGTTACAATCGAAAGTTAATTAAACTATTTTATTACTAGTGTATAAATAAACTTGGCATCAAAACTTAATTAATAAATCAAATTTTAATGTTATATAAGTTTTAAGTTCTTAGTTTTATAATGAAATATCAAAAAGAAATACTCAAGCTCCATTAGTATGAGTATTATGACATTTGTTCTCTAGGTCATCCCCCTTCTCTAATTTACCATTCCTCTCTGAAGTTTGGAAGTTAATGTAAATTAATCATTATAATATAGATATTACTACAGCAAAGTCTATTTCTTATAGCCTTCAATCTTCTTTGTTTACAGAGTTATAAACTGGAAAATCAGACCCACTTGTCATGTCCACCTGTCACGTCCCCTCTTTTATAAATTGCCAATAATCCTCTCTTACAATTTATTCACCATTTATATCAATAGAAAGGCAAAGTTTCAAATAATATTGTTGCTTAGTGGGACTGTGCTTAAAGGTTTGCTGATAGGAATTCAAAGACAGTTCTAAACATTTGAAAGTTCATCAGGTAGCATTTAAGCATTGTCAGTTTTGTTTTGTTATTACTCATTTGGAAAACTTAATCTTTTGCTTTATATAATGCCCAAAACCTTAAATGTAGCAGCTTCTTCAGTACATTGGAGCAGATTGTTATGGCAGACCACAGTGTGGGGGTGAGTGCTACATATAGTGAGTAGTTGTATTGCTTCAATAAAATGTACTGAATGCCTAGTGTACAAGATGTAAAAGCATTGTTATGGTAGAGTAAGTGTGAAAGATAAAATATGCACTAATCCTAATCATTTTAATTATTGAAAAAAGAGCGTACATGTAACTACACCACCTTCCTCCCCAAGGCATATGTTTAATTAGTTACCATTGTTGTTAAAAAATGTGATTGATAATAACATTCTCTCTTGTAACTCTGTTACAGTTGAAGGTCTGTATTTATTTTCTAACTGAACTGTTACTTCTTCTGTTTTGCTGTTTATGTATTAATGTTTATTAGCTATGTTTAATTCATCAACAATCTTATTACAAATACTATGACTGCTAATCTGTTTGGAATGGTAACTGTTAAATGAAAATTTATTTTGCTTAACTCTTTCAGCATGGGCTCGGTCACTGGGATCGACCTCATAACCATTTTGTACTTGTAATAGTTTTCATGCTATAACTTTTAAATTAGTAAGCGAATGTTAACAAAATTTGGCAGATTATCAGTAAAAATTACAATGCTTTCATATGCAAAATATCAATTTGTTTTATGTCTTAAGGTTTATAAAGCAATGTTTTTCTCGTGTCTATTTTTTTCTTTTCACATGTTGACTTTCTATCATGCAAAGTAATTTTCATTTTAAGATTAAAAATA